GGGGGAAAAAGGGGAGACATCTGTAATACTTTCAACAATTAAGATAAATTTTTTAAAAAGAGAAAAATAAACATAAAATGATTATATAATTTATCCTTCAGACTAGGACATTCAACAGTGCTAATTTAATAATTACCCTGGGACAGTTGTGAGCCTGGACATACAGCCACTCAGTCACATGTGTTCTGCTCCCATATCCCCAAAATTCAATGTGATCTTCCTGTGATTGTCAAGTTGTGAGGGTGGGAATGGGCAAGAACTAATGCAGCAATGGGGGCCTCATCTTGAAACAATATTTCTTTATCCTAACACCAAATAGTGGCAGAACAAACAGAACCATGGATCCTATCACAACTAGCATAGCTGATTTCATAGACACTCCTGCTTCATGTTCTTTGGTGTTTCTAAAAGACACATATTTTTCTTTCTGAGATACTGAGACATTCACTTAGATCATTGCAGTAGGGCCCATGATCACTTGGCCTATTGTACATTGGGAGAGAGGAAACACATATTCCTAGTCACCCAAAACATGACACACACTATACGTATGCAAATGAACATCTGGAAGCCATGACATCTCTTCTAGGTTAATGACGAAAAATCACACACATGGATTAGTTAAGTTGAAATTGCCAATATTTGACCCTTTTGACCTACTGAGATGGTGATGTCTATGGTACAACCTAACACTTTGGAGATAAATAAGACTATAAAACATACTTCTGTAAATTTTATGTTCCAAACTTTTGGAAATACTTTCATGTAAGTACAACCTACCTGGCACCATTTCTGCTTCCTCCCAACCCCCCATCACTTGCCATGCCCTCAGGTGTTAATGCACAAAGCCCAGCTAAGTGCCAAGAAGGGAGGTCTCTATTTCCACAGTGGTACTTACTCAAGCAAAACGGGTAATGATAGTATCCAGGGGCACACTTCTCACAGTTGTGTCCGTGGAAATTCGGCTTGCAGGTACAGCGGCCTGAGCCCTGCTCACAGTCATCCGCATGCTCAGGGTTACAGCTACAAGCTAAGAGATATCCCAGTTTTCAAAGGATCAGCCCTTCGCTACACTTAATAAGGCAAATATGTCCCGATACTTCTTGTACAATGTTTAGTACTTTATCATTGGTCAATGGTCATTCTTGAAGGGGAACATCCTGTTTCCCACTTCATACATGGTTCCCTTTGACTGAACCCCATGGGCCCTCAGAGATGAGCTTTAATGAGCATCCACACTGAGATGTTCTTGAGAATGCAGTTTATTACACTGAGCTCTGCCCAGCTCACTGCAGAAGAGGGAATCCTGCACTAACTGCTATCGGAGGGACTGGGTGGCTGTATGTTGGAGCTTCTGGCAGGTCTGGTGGGCACACCCTCTCCTGGCCATGAGTCAACTGTGAATGTCCACATCATGGTCATTATTACACAGCTGTGGTGTGGACATAAGTGTGGGATGCCTAGACATGGATATATAATCTGTGGACAGAATAGAAAGATTGTGCCCATAACCCAAATGCTAAATTCAAGCAATCTGGCTTACTAAAGGCAGTTTTTGCAACCAACACAATTATTAGATTTGCATTTCAGAGGGATATACTTGGGGTATAAGAAGTTTGGTGATGCTCCCATTTGGGAGCTTCCCTTGACCAGGCAGGTCCTCACCTTGGACAGCAAAAATACTGTCATCGCTCAGCTAAGTAGATGTCCCATAAGGAACTGGGAGACTGGAGAAACTGTGAGCATCAAGCACCCTCCCCACCTCCACCAGCCTGGCTTCTCCTGGTGTCCTTTGCTTAATTTGTTTAGGATTTATATGCCTGCGGATTCTTTATGCTAAGCCTCTAACATCTCCATGAGACCACTTCAGTGACCAAGAAAGAAACTAGAAAAGGACAGAAAACTGAGGTTCCTAACAAGGTATGATGCATCCACGATGTCTGTCTTCCTTTGCCAATGCCTACTTTTTGAGGGCACGAGGAAATGATGGACATATTACTTCACAGGATGATGCAGAAGAGGGAGGAAAACAGGAACACAGTGAAAACTTAAGGATGTCCTCGAGAGGGACATCCTTAAGATCAGAGTTCACACATACTTTGGACTTTGATGCCCTCAAATCTCAATGATACAACGAATGAATTTGGAAACGGTGGGCACAGAGACCACCTTTAGGACTGGAGTTGTCTTCCAGCTATGGCAGCCAGAGAAGAGTAAAGAGCCCAATAGGATGCACATGCAGGACAAAGTCCATAATTGGCCCACTGACTGATGATTCCACAAAGAAGAATCTGTGGCATTTTTCTGTATAATGGAAGTGGTATAGCATGGTGACTCCAGACTGGTATGAACTATTTCCTGGATCTGCAGTTAGTGGTCTTGTCACCTGGGCCAAAATATTTAATCACTCCAGACCCTTTGGTTTCTCCATATCGAAAAATGAGAATAATAATTCAATGTTGTAAATTTATTGCGATGAATAAATACATTTGTTAAAGTATTTAGGCAATGCCTTGCATAGAGCAAATGTGTGATAAATCATAGCTATTTTAAATATTAGGACTATCATTAAATCCTTGTAAAATCTTTACTATGTTGTCTTGATGCTACTTCTGAAAAAATTTTAAAACTATTGGAGATCACAGAAACATGTCAAAACAACAGTAAATGGAGGAACTGACCTTTGTTGTAGCCCAGTATGTGATAGGCCCAAAGCTTAGTATTTTCCTAGGGGCTTTTGAGGGTATTTCATTTAGGGAATATATTATCATTTCTATTTAAATATAAGAAATCTGAGGCTCAGAGAGACTATGTAACTGCCAGAGATTACACAATAAGGAGTGAACCAATCATATGATGAAACAGGGGGAGAAGGGAACCACTGACTGATCAGACTTTAGCCTGTTGACAGCCCTGAAGCAGCATACACTGGCTAAAACACACCAGGTTGAAAAGAAACTTACGGATGCAGCCATGGGGGGCATCAACTGGAAAGCCATGAGGGCGATAATAACCTTTCGCACACCGTTCACAGTTTATACCAGCTGTGTTGTGCTAGAAAGAAACAAAAGAAATTTAGAGGGAATAGTACTGAAGAAGTCTTTATTTTGTGTAATTCATTCAGAGAAATAATCCTGTTGTATACACTTGTAATTTCAAAGTCACACATGCACACAAAAGCATGGATCTTGACCTGGAGTCGCCAAGATTTACCACAGGACCCTGGCTTACGCTTGGCTTTGGAATTCTTTTTCCCATTGGAAGAGGAAATGAGAGGAAGTTCCTTGAACTCGACAACCCAGGCTTTTCCCCCATCATAAAATTTGCTTACTGAAGCACCTGACATTCGAGTGAGAAAAAAAACCTCAGAAGTAGTGATGGATATAAATTACCCTTAGTGTAACCCAAGGAATAAAGGGTCATGTGTGTATTTTTATCTCCTCCACTCTGGGAAGAAATCACACACACAGATCCTCCTCTCTTGCTGTCCTAATTTTATCTGTGCTTTAGTCAAGAAACCATTTCCCAAACATTTCCGTTACATGAATGGAAAATGTAGGCATGAGTCTCATACACAGAGCTCATTTTAAAGTATAATACTAGGCCGCTTTTTACATTTCATAATTAATCCTTTTAATTGCCACAAAATCAAATTACCCAACATGCATCATCAGTTTCCAAGAACCAGACACCATGGATCTCGCTCAATTCTGCCTCTCTCCCTCTCTAATTTGGAAACAATTAGGAGGACAGTGTTCTTTCACTAACGAAAGAGAAGGCAATTGGGAGTCAAAAATAACAAATGTAACACGCTTGGACCCAAAAGGAGCCTGCATAGAAACACAGAGGGGAGAACAAAGACTCTTTCTGTACTCTCTCCCCCATTTTTCATGATTTTATTAATTACAGACTTTTATTCATTACCACTCCTTGTCCCGTGGGCAAAAATCTGAATGCACTTTAACACTGAGAACTAAAGCCACACTGGCCACTTCTCTAACTTAACATTTGCATGCATACACATTTTGGGCAAATAAGAAACAACTGCAGTCCACCCTCCTTCCCATCAAATGCCAATTAACATCTCAACTCTGTCGCTTGCCACTGTGATTTATAATAGACAGAGGACATCAGGTTAACCGTGGGTCCCCAATACTCTCCCACTGGAGTAGGAAATGAGGAAAAGTTCTCTGAAGTGGGCAGCCCAGGCTTTCCCCTCTTCTACGAAGTTTGGTCAATGAAGCACCTGCCACAGAGAAGTTACATTTTTAAGACACAAAGAACAGCTCATTTTCTCTCTTCTTTTAGGTCCTTATTCAATGCCACATTCCAGGGAACTGACCACCCTATTTAAAATGTTGCATACCCCACCCAGCTGGCATGGCTCAGTGGTTGAGCATCGACTTATGATCCAGGAGATTCCCGGTCAAGGCACATGCCCGGGTTGCAGGCTCGATCCCCAGTTGGGGGCATGCAGGAGGCAGCCGATCAATGACTCTCTGTCATCATTGATGTTCTCTCTCTCTCTCTCTGAAATGAATAAAAATATATTAAAAAAAAAAAAAAGATCCTGGGACCTTTCGCTTATACATGAAACCCTGTGATTTGAAACAAACCTATGACTTACCTTTTACTTGTATTTTAATTATCTATAATGACAGAGAATATAAAGTGTGTGGAGTGAGAGATAGGTGGAGAATGGTGGGTCTCTCTAAGCACGTACGGCCCTGGTTCCATATAAATGGACATCTCATGGAATGGACATCTCTTTAACGGTAACATTAACAAAACATCACTCTAAAAGCACATAAGACTGAATAACAATACAGACCAAATTCATGAACATTATACCTTCCTCTGCCATACCCTCCTCTTGGCTAATTTCCAGTGAACCCAATCATCCCACAGAAAAGATGAAAAATCAGAGTTTCATATTTGCTGTCGATGGCAGACATCATTCATTGATCCTGATGTACTTTCTCACTGAGTCTAGATTCAAAATCTGTCTGAACAGAGAATTTAGGGTCAGCACTGAGGTTGACATCTATTTTCCTCCAATTTTAGAGCCTTTATACCATAAGATGGATGGTAATCAGGATGACAGCCAGGAATTCTCCTCTACATTTAGGAAAAGACTTAGAAGAAGAAACTAAGCAATGGAGTATGGAAAAACATGCCTCAGTTCATTTTCCCTTTAATCCCTAAATTACATCCAGCTACCAAGGACTTTTGTGTACAAAAGTGGATAAATGATTTCAGAAGTATTTCCAATTTCTTATAACTTTCTTGACATCTTTTTGGGAGCAGGGCTTAATGAATGTCCATTTCCTACAGTGACACATCCACTTCGACTGAAATAGTGCCTCACCTGACAATTAATGCAGACCCCTCCACCTGCATAGATGCCGTGGATATTCAAGCTTGCCTGCAGCCTCTCGACTTCTGGATCATAGTAACAGTTGGTGGCGTGGCCATGGCAGTTGCATGCTGAAAAGGGCATTCGAAGTTAATATAGCATCATGACTACGAGACACTTAGTAAACACCCCCAGAGAATATTACTGCTTATTGAGCTACAATACAGTCTCTTCTGGAACACCAGGGACACTCTCAGTGGAAAATTCTAGGGACTTTTACACAAAGTCCAGTCTATAACAATATGCAATTTACAGCCTCCTTCACTTAATAGTAAGTGGGAGAGGTTTCTTTTTAAAAGAATTAAAAGATATGTAATTATAACAAATTAAGATATGATGTACAAACAGACTATCACTATTACTGCTATTACTAACAAGAACAATTGAGTTCCTGGTACACCATGAAAAGTGCTTTACACGCAATATGTCGATCAGTGCAGTAACTCTCTAAGGTAGGTACTAATATTCCTTTAGCCCAGATGTGGAGGAAGGGATGTCTCCATAGGTACACAGCCCATAAATAAGAGAGGCAGAGTGCTGGCCAGTGTGGCTCAGTTGGTTGAGCATCGTCTCATGCACCAAAAGGTCTCTGGTTCAATTCCCAGTTGGGGCACATGCCCAGGTTGCAGGTTCGGTCCCCTGTTGGGGTGTGTAAGGGATCAATGTTTCTCTCTCACATCAATGCTCCTCTCTCTCCTTCTCCCTTCCTCTCTCTAAAAATCAATAAAAACATACTTTAAAAAATGAGAGGCAGAATCCTGACTTGTTGTTGTTTGACTCCAAAGCCTTCTCTCTAAGCCTTTCATCTCAGCACTATTTATAATAGAGATAAATTGGAAATAATCTTAATGTCTGATTATAGGGAAATGGGTAAGCAAATCTGACTGCCTGTTCTATGAAGTCAATAATTGTTTGTGTTTTGTGTGCAATAGAGCACATTTTTCAGAACATAGTGGGAATTCAACAAATACTTTTTGGATACACTTAAATCCAAAGAAGGACAATATTACGTGGCATCAAAAAGGATGTCAAAGAGTTTTTAATAATATTGGGAAGTATCTAAAAATATCAAGTGAATAAGATCAGAAAACAAAATTGTATAAGTAATACAATCTTGAATATTTAAAGTAAGCATGAAAAAAACACTAAAATACCTAAAAAGATGTTAATAGTGGTTTTCTTTGAGTAGTAAAACGACTGGAGATTTTCCTTTTTCAAAATAATTTTAAAGTTTTCTACAAGTAATGTATAATACTTCTAAAATTAGAAAATCTAATTGAAAACAACCCATTTAGGATTTTCATCATTGTCAAGACAAAAAAACTAACATGAGTAAAATTCTTATTCTCTCTTATGCAGAATATTCATTACACTCCACCTAGATCAAATTTTCCAAGTCTTTCTAGTAATTTGTATATTTTAATCAAGTTCTATTAGGAAAAGAAGATTGAGTTAGAATTTCAAGTTATCCTGTTTTTAAAAAGCTGAGCACTTTCTTGCTTTCATTTCCTCAGTAGTGCCATGATTTAAGAAAAAAAAAAAATCAAGGCACTCATATTTGCTGCATCAGTTATCCCTTAAGAAGTCTGTTTATTCTGAATTGCGGTAGTTCAAGTGGAATTTAGAAAGTACCTAACAAATAGATCTCAATAGGTCTGATTTCCATATGCTGTTTTTGTAACTTTTAGTCATTCTGACAAATGTAAAGTGATTAAAAACGAAAGGAAATTAGTTAAATTTTTCATGTGTGTGAGAGTAAAGCATGTCATTCACTGAAAGGTTCCATTAGTCTGAAAAACTAACCAAATTGTTAATGTTGGAGTTCATGTGATACTTATTCAAAGTATCCTAAAATCGACTCAGCCCCTGATTATGACCTTTTCTGCTTTCTGGCCCCATTATCTGGGAGTGAAGGATGGAAAAGTCACTCAGAAAGGCTTTGTTAACTTGACCATAAAGTGAGAATGGCCATCTAGGTGACACCCCTGGACCTGGAGATGCACCTGAGTGCTCCCCTTGGAAGCATCAGCACCTTCCAACAGTGTGAGCATCTGTCAACACATTCTCGAAGCTCCTCACTGGAAATGCCTTTTGAGTAATTTTGCTGATCATAGTGATCATCAGTCTTACTTCTTAATAGTTACAAAATATATTTGGCCAGTGTACCGATTCTTTCTTACCCTCCTTCCCCCAGTTCAACAAACCTAGATCCAAACACCTTTTGGTCATCTCAAAAAAGAAAATCCATCTTCAACTAAGAATATTCACCAAAAAAAAGACACAGTCTCCAAAACCAATAACTAAAGGCTACAAAAATATTTTCAGCAATTGGAATAAATATGTGGCTTCCTAAAAAGAGCAGACTAAAAGAAAATCTTCAGTAGGCTGTTGTAGGGCTTGTTTGTTAAAATAAGCTTCCTTACTTTATATTGCACCCATAGTTAAAAGCAGCCTCTCGTCTTTCCTCCTTCCCTCTCTCCTCTCCATCCGCACCTGCCCCAGTCCTGCTACAGGACCCCGCCCACTGCCTCCCCGCTCCCTCGGTGCTGCCAGCCCTCTGCTTAGCCGCCAATCTCACCCCTTCTCCAGACCTCGGTCCTCAAAACAGATAGGATTCTGATCCAGAATCACATACTAAGAAATGATAAGGGCTTCAAATTTAATAGCAGCTGCATCATATTTTAGATAGCTAAAAAGAGAGGCCAACTTATGTTAAAGCACTCAGCCCAATCCTTGCCTATAGTGAACACTTAATACATATTATTAAAGATTATTACTATTGTTATTTTGTCCTCATATTTATATCTGAATTTAGAGTGGGGCACTTACACCTCCGGTCTGTGAGTTATTCATTACAACAAAAAGACTTGTGTCCCTAAGATTGACATGACCCCACCATCTTCACAAGCAAGGAAAACGCAGCATCCGTTGTCAGGTAGAAACGGGGGGAAACACTGAGCATCCCTCCCCCAGGGCTCACCTTCACACTCATGGCTCTGCTCCCACGTGGCAGGCTGCCAGCCCCTCTGATTGTACCCAGCACAGCAGCGATCGCAGGTCTCCCCACAGGTGTGGTGTTGGCATTCACACCGAAACCTGCGCATGTGGTGAAGCACATCTCAGTTACTGAAAAGTTTTCATTAAGACCAGTTGTTCCTGTGTGAAAAACTGACCGTCACTCATGGTACCATTTGTTGAGTAATTATGAGAACAAAGCACTTTGTAGATACTATTTCAGGTCTCCCCCATCCTGCTTATTACCTCCATTTTACAGATGTTGACACTAAGATTCAGAGATATTAAAACACTTGGTGATAAGCGAGCCAGATTTGAAACCTGTTGGTCTAACTCCAAAGTCCCAGCTCTTTCTTCTCTACCACATTATATTATAATAAAGCAACACATTAGCAACAAGTGCTGAGCTTACTGAGATGTCTGGATTATTTAATGTGAAATATTATTCTATGTGGAACATGCCTCAATTAAAAACAAAACTTGGTACATCCATGTTCATAGCCAAAAGGTGGCCATAACCTAAGTGTCTATCAACAGATGAACAGATAAACAAAATGTAGTATATACATAATGAAATATTATTCAGCCTCAAAAATGAAGGAAACACTGACCCATGCTCCAACATGGATGAACCCTGAGGGCATTATGCTAAGTGAAATAAGCCAGTCATAAAAGGACAAATATGGTCTGGTTCCACTTATATGAGGTACCCAGAGCAGTCAAAATCACAGAGACAGAAAACAGAATGGTGGTTGCCAGGGGCTGGGGGAAGAGGGAATGGGGAATTGTTTAATAGGTACAATATAGAATTTCATTTTTGCAAGATGAAGAGTTCTGGAGGTTGGCTGCAAAATAATGTGAATGTACTTAATGCTACTGAACTGTACACTTACACATGGTTAAGATTCTATACTTTATGTGTATTTTATCAAAATAAAAAAAGAGGAGGGAAGGATTTGAACATGTACATCTCTGATCCCATTAAACCAAGGATAACAAACAAGTTTTATTTCTCTCCGCCACTCTAATCAATTATTTGTGCCTGCCTGAGGCACTGTCTGACTGGGGGATGGGACAGGGGGTGGTGCTGGTGGTAGGAAGTAGAGATATTCAGTGGGATGCAAACATCCACTGAAACAGACTTATTCATAGCAAGCTAAACAATCTGCACAATGTACTCACACTTTTTCAGGATTGTTTGCATTGCACACTTCAGCATGGCCATTGCAAGCACAGCGCCCACCGATGCTGATATCCTTTATGCTGTAATAATACTATTCAACAGAAAACAGAACATGTCTGTTTTACTGAAGAGCAACAAAAACTTTACTAATCTTTAATGCACATCTACACTGGCCCTGCTTCCCCTTCATCCTGTTCTCTTGAGCCTACCTCAACCCCAAGAAAGCCACTTTGACTGTAATTTGTCTTATAAAAATAAATACATTCATTCCTCAATTAAGTTTAACAGCACAATGCTGAATCTGTACCTTGTTAAAAATGAAATGCTTTAAATGAATGGAGGGAAATTGCCTTGGGAAAGAATCATACACTATAGCCTTTTAAAAAGGAATTAAGTGCTTCTTAACTTATTTTTTAATCTAAATCTGGGTTTCATAAATTGAACATTTTTATTTACCAAAAATAAATTTTCATATCAAAAAGTTTGCAACTACCATGTATGTGCAGGCTCTGCAAAGGGAGCGAATGTTTACAAAGATGGATCAGATACAACACACTGAGACTGGCAGGGGCCATCAGCAGTTGTTGCAGCTTTGCTAGTTTAAGGTTAATGAGACCAAACAGAGGTTCGACTCCAAAAGGCCAGACAGAGCAAGCTTCAGATCTAGCAGAGCATTGGCTCCTGAACCGGGCCACAACTACGGGGAGGCCATGTCACTGACAAGGCACATCTCTAGTGTGCTGAAGGCCTCTCCACTAGCGACAACAGGTGGCACTGTCTGCCAGCTCCCTGACTTCTCAGACCTGGCGGGAGAAGCACAGGATTGGGCGAGTGATTTGGGGGCTGCAGGATAATCTTTCTCACCGAGATCATGCTGCCAGGAAGGATACCTGCCAGTGAGGAGGTCTTTGAATTCACAAGGACAAGAGGGTTTTGTATCTTTTTGTCGTTGTTGCTGACAATAGCCATCTCAAAGGGCCCCATTCACTCGATGTTGGGGTTCTATTCTGATTTCCTCTCTAAAAGCTGTTGAAGTGTCTAAGCTTCCTGACAACATCTTACTTAGTCTGAAGGCATTAACAACCTCTCTTGTTAATATGGATAAACTCAGTATTCGGTGATACGCTGACACTCAGAGGCCTCTGTGCTGATCACCATAGAAGTTTCCCTCCCTCTACACGTGGGTTAAGGGCAGCAGCAGCCTCCACCCCAGCAGCACACATATTGCCTGCGACAGGGTAGCTGATATTCTGTTCCTCCATTCAGAGGAGCAACCTAGATTTGGGGACTTGAGATTAGATGTTGTACACTCCATTGAAAATTACATAATAGAGGAGACTGTGTTCATTTAAGTGAAAAGAAATATGCATATATATGAATTCAAATCTTGCAACCCCCCAGAAGACAAATATTTTTTTTAAAGGCGGTAAGGTACATTTGTTAGTAGGGCTTCAAAACACTTGGAGAAATGGAAGCGCAGTCTGGCCACAGTTTACCAGAAAGCTCAGCTCTCCCTTGCACATTCCACCTTCGGATCCAGAACAGTTCCCACATACAGCAACTCAGAGTACTAATGGCACAGAAAATGCAGGAGACAAGACACCCACAATAACAGGCCTTTCTGGAAAATGCTAAAAACTGTAGCAAAACTTACTTTTCTCTCTTCCTTTCCCAGCTCTCTGATATTACCTACATAAGATGCCAAACTCTATAAGGTGCTCTGGACATCTTCCATTCACCCTTCTAGGTCCACTCTCCACCTTTCTCCATCCTGCCCTTTGCTCTGGGGCTGAACTTTATGGATTGCAACAGGGTCTCTTGCTCTCTGGCTTTCTGTTGGGTTTGGCTAATGGGAGGCACTGGCAGGAAATCAGAGGGTAGGAAAAGAATGATCTCAGGGTATTTGTTCTGATGGCCCCCTCTGCACCCAGAGAGAGAGCTACTGTCCTGACTCTAAGACTGAGAGATGTTTAGGCTATACATCCAACACAGTAGAAGTACCAGTGCTCGCCAATATCTATGTCTCCTCTACTTTGGCTAGATTACATCACCCAGTCTCCTGCATCTAGGTGGGATTATACAACCAGTTCCTGCCAATGGAAGTGACCTGTGTGGTTGGGAGTATGTGGGTCTTCTCTACTCTCTCTCCCTTCCCTCATCTACTGGACAGATGTAGGGGATCCAGAGGACAACTCTGAGGTCCTATACCTATAGGATCACTGCACATTTAACTAAAAAGAGCCTGGTTCCTTGATGACTTCGTGGAGCCGATCCCACCTGCTGAACACATTAGACTATCACAAGAGCAAAAAAATGAACCTTTGTTAAGCCTCTGAGACTTGGGCATTGTTTGTTATAATACCAGGCTGGTGGTCGCCCTTTGCCTTTCATCTTCTTTGAATGTAATGATTTTTATTCAATAACCAAACTTCTAAGTTACATCTAGTATTTCAGACAAGAACAACTCCTACATCTACACTACTACTGGCTGTAAGATTACTTAAAAGAGTTCAAGACAATTAATTTGATAAGCAAAAAAATTTAAAAAACAATGCTTTTAGGCACTTCAAAACACAACTCACCCGCCTAGTAACAGTTGGATCTCGTTGTGCTTTGGAGATGAGGTGTCCAAGAAGGGTGTTGGTACGGAGAAAACGCAAGCGAATATTTGTTGCCTTGGTGAACTCCCTCAGGGTGTTGGAGAAAGTAAAATTTCTTGCACCTGGACGACCATTTATCAAGGACACCACAACCTAAAATAACCACACACACACACACACACACACACACACACACACACACACGGGGAAAAAGTCCCTTCATCAAAATTTTGCTGCAAGTAACTATAAATAACCCATATGCTCCAAAGTACTAGGTTTCTTTGAGCCATTAGATGTTTGTAGGTGGTCTTGGATCTTGTTTGTCTCTAAAAACAGCACTGCTTCCATCTTCCCTCCAAATTCTGGCAATCTGTCCTTAAAACCTGGGCTCTCAGAAGATGCTTATCATTTCATTTTCAAACCCTTTGTTCAATCAGTGTACTTGTGGGGCTCTAATGCTATCATACGTTGAAAGTATAATGTTAAAATATATAAACATAAGGAAACAACTTTTTGTCAAGCTGCATCAAAGAAACAAAGCTAAAGTAATTGAAAACCTAAATGAGGTTAAAAAAAGGAAGTCTCTGGATTTAAAGTTGACAGTGGAGATAAAATATCTATACAAAGCCAGGGTTTTATTTTAGAGGATGAGGTGATGAAGTTCAAGTGCCAACCATTTAAGACATGAACCACTCACCACTCATGGCAAGATACTGGATAGAGCTGCTCAAGAAGATCTTTCCATATAAAGGGGGGAGATTGATGTCCTTTAAAGAAGTTTATTTGAAACGCACTTCATGCTCATTCTGGTCTCACAAGTTACATGGAATTCGTCTCTGATTTTCCCCACCTCTGTTTTTCCATCTCTTCCAACAATAACCTGGCTGACTTCACAAGGGTAAAATGCAACCCACAAGGACAGCAGTTCTCTTCTTCCTAACAGATGATGCCCACGCTGCCTAAAGGAATAAGGGATTTGTGCAGCTATCTACCCTTCACCTCATTATTCTTACTGGGATAATGAGTCTGGGAGCAGTGGGAGAGGCTTCAAGTTAATCACCAGCAACCCACTTTCTAAATATTCCATCAGAAAAGAGAGTTCAAGACCTATGGGCCTTGAATCTGGAATCCTGCCTTCAGAGAATTAGAGACCTCAAATGGAATTTCCAATGTCAATTATGCCTCAGTATAATTCAGTGAAAAAGAATTTCCAATCCAACTCATTCTGGGAGTCTTCGATGTGATTCTTGTACCATTTAGTCCCAAATCCTGGTTTCCATTGTGACCTATGTCAGATCTCCTTGAAAGTGCAAGTTTCACAATGATAAAGAATTTGATATCCTTGTGTTCATTTCTGAGTCTTATCTCTCATAGCCTCCCAAATCTACCTACCTCACCATTTTCCAAAGGTACAATCCGAGAATATTCAGTCGTACACAGCACATCATCATCACGGGTGACAGCCATATTTGCCGCCTGCCCAAATTGTTGCAAACAGTCTACTTTAGAATCTAGAAAGAGAACATTTTAATATTATCAAATGAAGTATTATCACCTTGCTGTAAATCTCTTAAGAAATCTTATGTTTTCTTAAGAAAATACATGAATAAGGAAAGAATAGAGAAGCACTGAGGATTTTTAGACAAAAGCTTAGAATAAAGTTTTTAGATCATGAAAGAAAATACCAAGCCATTTCAGCCCACTTGACTTTCAAAGGCAATGTTTGGAGATGTGGTTCTAAATCCTCACTTCTCAGTAAGCAAATTTGCCTTCTCAGGAGCAGTCATGGAAAACCCAATGCCTTTGCAAGTGAAATTCCTGTCTGCCTCAGTTCATCATGGGGTTCATCACACTGACATTCTTCATTAGTGAAGATGACAAGGTCAAGGTAACTTATGTGAAATGCAGGATCCATAAAGATGAAACTTGGTTCCTAATTTTGCATAAAAGAAAGAGGATTGCAGCTATGGGCCAATTACAGGTACACTGAATAGAGGCAAGAACTGTTAACATAAAAGGCATTTCAGCCTCAGTTCTGCGTGTGTATCCTTGCAGTTAATGCACACATGCTTGAGAAATAGGGTTGTTCTGAGGGTAACCTAGAAAGTGAAAATTGACCAATCCCTAACTAGCCACATGGAGAGATGAATTTTCTAGTTAATCCAAAGTCTTAATCTGCTGCAAATAATTAAAGCCCCCAAGAGCATGGTAGGCAAGATTACTTACGAGCAAAATATTGCCAAGGTGAGTAGGTGCTCCCGAAGTCTACAGATCTTTCCAAGACCCAAAGATCAGGACGTGGAGAATTTGCAAATTTGATTAAAATATAGGCCACATGGAAAAGCTGATAAAGCAAAGGAGATAGTTATTAAAATCACTTTGTCTACCACAACCGTGACCATCTCTATATGATGCTGATTCCCAAGGCAACACATATAGCCACACCTCTCCCAAGATCCAGATCCCATTCCTAACTGCTATTGGACATCTCTATCTGGGTGCAGTTTGTCAAGCTTATCATGTCCAAAACCAAAATGATCACTTTTTAAATCTACACATTAATTCTTTGTCACACCTTAAAATTATACCCTTGAATTTCAACCAGCCTCCTCCACATCTTAAAGTCTGTACATTCAGAGAAATCTAATGTAAAGCAACAGTCATCATCAAGCACCCTTTCCCCACAAAAAACCCACCTATTTATTTAATCATTTATGATTTAATCATTACTATGTTCTAGGTACTATGATAAGCACCTCTCAAACATTCTTGTATTTAGGCCCCACAATAATTTCGAGAGGGTAAGTAACATGCCCACATCTTGCAGGTGTAAAAATCCTGAACCCATGTGTATTCTACTCACTGACCATTAGCTATGCCATAGACCTAATGGATACTTAATATTTGACCTCTTTCATCTTAGGGGAAATAAATTGTCAGAAAGCTCCAAACATCGTTATTATCTAATATGCAGTGTCCATTACAAGGAGACTAGAGGTGAGAAGCTATGTTATAACACAGCTTGAGGGTAATTTGAATGCAATGGTTTCCCAAAGTTGCACTTTCTGTTACTGAAAATCCAAATAAATGAAAAACATTAGTGGCTCAGAAGACCACTCTCTTTGTTTTGCTTTGAGATAATGTGTAATCCCTTAGAAGCAGCACAGCAAAAATTCCAAGTCTAGCAGCAGATGGAGACACCACAGTGTGCTGCTCTATTTGTTAGATGAGCCTGCCACCCAGGCCTAGTTTAATAATCCCATTGATTCCCCCAACTCATCTTCCAGCACCTGTCACACAGGGCATTCCACTCTAAAAAGTTTCCCTCCCATTTTCATCTTAGGAAACTCTTTATGTGCCCTGACCACTGGTAGGCTGCATTTCCATTGTTACTGACAGACTGTGTTTCCTGGATCATCTCCACTGCTGTGTAACTTGCAGCCAGTTCTTGCCAAGTGCTCCAGCTCTGCATCAAATCTCTGAGACTTGCTGATTCAAAATGCCGCTGTGAGGCAGCCTGAGTGGTATCCAAAGTGGGTTCACAGCCAGCTCATGCATGTTAAAACCAGCAGTTGTGGATTTATTCTCTTCTGCTTGATAATTTAAAATGATGTGCCTTTTAAATGGCTCCTTCTGCTAAACTCCTATTATCAGTTACTTATGTTTGCTCTTTGATCACTCAAAATACTTCGAAGCATGCACAACCCACACTTGAGATTCACTGATGTGAAAAAGGTCTTTTATGAAGCTGGAAAGCACCAGACAAGGGAGTCACTAGAAGCAGCAAAGCAAAGGCAAAGCGTACGTTTCCAGAGAAATAACATCTACACATGTCCCCCTCCCCCCCCACACACACACTTTAAAAATTTTGAAAGTAAGTTTCAGACATCATTATTTCAGCATTTATCTTCCAAGAACATAGACATTTCTTTTTCATAAACTTAACATTTTTGTGCCTGATAAATTTTACTGTTTATATAAGAATCTTACCTAACACACTGTCCATATTCAAATTTCCCTGATTCTCCTAATAACACCCGTTGTATATTTCCAATCCTGGATCCAATCAAGGATTGTACATAGCATTCACTTGTCAAGTCTCTTTTGTCTTCTTTAATTCAGAGCAGTCCTCCATGGCTTTTGTCTTTCCTGACATTTGAAAAAGTCCAGGTCTTTTTTATCACAGAATGTCCCACAATCTGAATTTGTCTGATCATTTTCTCATGATCTGATTCAGATTAGGCATTTTGGCAGGACTACTACCTGTGTGACATGACCTTCTCAGGGCATCATGCCAGGGGGCACATGGTGCCAGGTTGTCCTATTATCAGTGATGCTGTGTTTGATCACTTGCCGAAGATGTCTACTAGATTTCCCCAATATAAAGTTACCTTTTTAACTTTGTCATTAAAAAGGAACCCATGGAGAGACATTTTGAAACATTTATTTTTATTAACTAAATTATAAACCTTCCCCACTATCCATGCAAAAAATATAAATACAAGTTATCAAAAAGTGAGTCCCAAAATAAGGAACCAAACAATTACATTTCCTTTGTGGCTGATGCCCATTTGAAAAACTTATCCAATGAGCTGATTTCACTGAAATGCTTTAACTGAGAAGGAAAGACACAGATCCAGTGAAATTAAATTTCATTTTAGTAACCTTGTTTGAAAACTTTTCACAAGGTGAAGTACAATCCTCATAAAACATTCAGGTCCTGATGAAAATACAACTCAGCTGGCCTGAGAAAGGATCCTGCTTATCCTACTCCAAAGAGTGCCTCTTCCAATAGCTCAGCAAGGGCCCTTCTTTCTTGTGGGTGTCTCATCACTCTTCACTATCAGACCCAGACTCTGGCACCATCAGAAAGCGTGTGTGGGGAGGAAAGTCACTCTGTCCCTCAGCTCCTCTCACTGTTTCCCAGAAGCACCTGGTCACCTGCAAGGAGCAGAGGTAGATCACCCCAGAAGCTTACAGAAAGGGACTCAGAGGTCCTTAGGTCAACCTTTCACTCAGGGTAAGTAAGAAACTGAACCCTAGAATCTCTTTTTGAGAAGAAACCCACTGCACTCTGGAAAGGTTCAGGCCATTATATTTTCTCAGTGTCCCTCCTCCTAGCCTTTGGAGTAGCACAGATTTCTTCTGTTCATCCCACATGACAGCCTGCCCAGGATTTAAATATCAACACCACATCTCCGTAGGTTCTTTTTTCTTTTTTTAACAGAAAATGATTATATTTAATACACAAATTAGGTAAAACCAAAAAGTAAATCACCACAGTAAAAAGTAAAATAATTTTTAAAATGTTATTTCATTTACAATGCATGAGAAATGGTTAGCATCTCTAATCATAAACAAGCTATTAGAAACCAGTAACTACAATCCAAGGAAACTGGAAAAACTGTACGACACCATTCAAAACTGTAAAACATTAGATGTCAATGTTTTCATCCTGTGACAGTGTGATATTGCAGAGAAATTATTCTTCTGACACTGTTCAGTACAATCATCATATATGCTTAATCCTTAATCGTCTCCTGTATTATTTCAGTTTCTTTTCTCCTTAGGTACTTCTTAAGGAATTAAGAATCAAGTTATGCCTGGCTGGGCGTGGCTCAGCAGTTGAGCATCAACCTAGGATCCAGGAGATCGGGGTTCGATTCCTCGTCAGGGCACGTGCAGGAGGCGGCCAATCAATGACTCTCTCATCACTGATGTTTCTCTCTCTCTCTCTCTCCCCCTCTCCTTTCCTCTCTCTGAAATCAATAAAGATATTTTTTTTTAAAAAAAAAGAGTCAAGTCATCAGGAGGCAGAGATTAGGGTAGAAAGTGGAAGGGAGAGGAAAATTAAAGCCTCTCATCTCTCGCTTCCTCATTAAAAATAACCACAATATCCTGAGAAACAAAATCCCTGAACCAAAATTGACTCTAAAGTTTTGAATCACTCCAACAACTTGGAAAATAACAAGCGCACCTATATTTTATTACTAATAAATTCATAATTCTGGGGGGAAAATGATGACATATAGCATGATTTTTAGTCCTTGTGGACATGAAGCATTATTCTTCAAGTAGACTCAAAATAACTAAAATATGTTATTCGAGAACATTTGATCCATGACTAACAATTTACAAATAGATTTTAAACAAGCTGGAGCCCCCTGGAATCCAAGAACGCTGAATTCTGTTTTACACTGTCTTACATTTTGTCCTGTTCTGTGTAGTTACTCTCACTGTCAGGAAATTTTTTTTTGTCTAGGGCCTGATTCTCCTGGTAAAACTCAGTTTTTCACATTCACAGTTTTTTGGTGTGTTTTTTGTTTTGGTTTGGTTTTGGTTTTGCTAATTTATAAGAAAATTAAGTATGACATTTGTTTCACTCACTAAACTAATAAGTAGCCTAAGAATTTGTCTGACAACCATACAGGATAAAGGAAATTATACAGTCACGTTCTTCCAAGACAAAGAGATTTAACTAACTCACCTTTAATAACCAGCAGCCAAGCTATCTGAATCCCCCTTTACTATATATTTTTTAGACTCACTAACTCCTAAAAACATATTAATTTCCATAGGTGGCTTGTACCATGGTGGGCTTCAACAAAATATTTCTCAATGATGATTATTTGTCCTAAATCAGCTTCCAAATGATGTTATTATCTATTTTCATGAATAATTCCACACCCTCTGTAATGTTCCAGTCTCCTCCTCCTGGCCAATATCTTTCTACCTAAAGAGTGTTACCATTGCTGACCTGCACTCATAATGGTCCTGTCCTACTTTTGCTTGCCATACCTACTCCTTTCTCCCTCCGCGACATCTTTCTTAACTTCACATCCATGGCCGCATCATAGTTTTACCTAAGGCTAAAACTGTCCTTTGGCCATGTTTCCAAATACCCTTACTAATGATGGGGCACTTCAAAGAACTTTTTCACAACAGCTGTGCATGTCTGTAGCGTGATGAGGGTCACTTAAATTGACTCAGCATGTTCATTTTTATTCGTCAGCCTGTTCTTTTTGGAATGAGCTTTAAACTAAAGTGTCATTTCAAATCAGCTGGACCACAGATTAAATATTCTTCTTAGAACTCACCCTTTGATCAAAAGCTGCCTTTTGCTTCCTTTGGCATGGTGGCTCTCAATGGGGGTGGTCCCACCCTCTGGGTATTTTATTGGTTATCACAAGCCCAATAAGCAGACAGATCATTTATTTCAGAGGCATCAACCTGCACCCTGAGAAAGGTGGCCGTCAGTTCCGGGTGAGGAGGCGGCTCTCTGGGTGCTGGGATCTGACTGATACAGGGACTCGCACTGCCATGCAGAGGGGGCTGGAGAGGGCG